CCTCGTCCTGGCCCTGGTGGCCACGCTGCGCCGGCAGCTGGAGGAGCCCGGCCGCCGCTCCAGGTGGGTTCTGCCACGGGCGAGGGCTTGGGGGAGCTTCTTGGGTTTGGTGGGTTCCTCTTGGGTTTGGTGGGTTCTTCTTGGCTTTGATGGTTCCTTCTTGGTTTTGATGGTTCCTTCTCATTTTCGTGGTTCCTGTCTTTGATGATTTCATCTTTCATGGTTTCCTCCATTTTTGGTGGTTCCTTCTCATTTACGATGGTTTCCGCTTGTCTTTGTTGGTTTCTCCCCATTTTTGATGGTTCCTTCCCATCTTTGATGGTTTCTTCTTGGTTTTGATGATTTCTTCCAACTTTTGATGGTTCCTTCCCATTTCCAAAGGTTTCCTCCTCTCTTTGATGGCTTCTTCCCATTTTTGATGATTCCTCCCCATTTTCGATGGTTTCCTCCCATCTTTGATGGTTTCTCCCCATCTTTCATGGTTTCCTCCCATTTTTGGTGGTATCTTCCCATTTTTGATGGTTCCCTCCTGTTTTTGGTGGTATCTTCCCATTTTTGATGGTTCCCTCCCGTTTTTGATGGTTTCTTCCCATTTCCAATGTTTTCCTCCCGTCTTTGATGGTTTCTCCCCATCTTTCATGGTTTCCTCCCATTTTTGATGATTCCTTCCCGTTTTCATGGTTTCCTCCTGTCTTTCATGGTTTCCTCCCATTTTTGGTGGTTCCTTCCAGTTTGTGATGGTTGCTTCATGTTTCTCGTTGTTTCCTCTCATTTTTGATGGTTCCTTCTTGATTTTGATGGTTTCTTCTAATTTCTGATAGTTTCTTGCCATTTTTGATGGTTCCTTCTCATTTCCAACGGTTTCCTCTTGTCTTTGATTATTTTTTTTTTTTTTATGGTTCCTTCTTGGTTTTGATGGCTTCTTCCCATTTTTGCTGGTCGTTTCCCATTATTGATGAATTCTTGCCATTTTTGATGCTTCCTTCCAGTTGTTGATGGTTTCTTGCCCTTTTTTATGGTTTCCTCCTATTTTTGGTGGTTCCTTCTCGGCTTTGATGGTTCCTTCATGTTTTTAATTACACCAGAAACTCCGTGTGCTACATTTACAATAACGTGCCAATATAACATCCCTCACTGGGGTATTACAAACATTATATATCAAACACTACGTGTGGTATATTTACATTAATGTGCCAATATAACATCCCTCATTGGGGCATTACAAACATTATATACCAAACACTATGTGTGGTATATTTACAATAACGTCCCAGTGTAACATTAT